GGTACTGAATTCCAGGAACAAAGATGAGCTATTGTTGTGCTTGGGTGTGAAGCATCCCCCATAGGCACATGTGTTTAAATACATGGTCCCCATGGAGTGGCAATGTTTTCTGAGGTTGTTGGATCTTTAAGGCATGGGGCTGTAGAGGCAGGAGTTAGGGTTATGTCTAGCCCAATTCCAGCCTGAGCTCTCTGCTAATCCACCGCAATGTGAGCAAGCCCCTTCAAGCTCCCACTACCACCAGAATCACTCTCACCACTAAGGATTCCACCACACTTTCCTCAGCATGAGGAATTCTACCTTCACAATCCACAAGCCAAAATAAATTCTTTCTACTTTAAGTTGTCCCAATTAGGCATTCTGTCACAATGATGAGAAGTGAGTGTGCAGCTATGTCTTTTCCTTTGATCCTTTAGGGCCTTAGCAAGATTCGGCACGTCAGAGTTAGTGGACACTGCAGCAAAGGTTAAAGACCCAAAGGGCAGGTTGGAAGATACTCATTCATTCTGCTTTTAGAACCAGCATTGATTAGTCCACCTGGGAAAATGGCCTAACCTGGCCTGCTAACAAAGATCCAGATGAAATGTCCCAGCTGTCTTTGGTTTGTATTTATGTCCTGGCAGCTTTCTCTTCAAGTGAGCCTGAAGTGTTGTCCCGCGCTCTGTATTTCTCGCCAGCAAGAAATCATACACGGGACACTCGGATCCTTCTGCAGACAAGCTTTAATGCATTTTACCAGAGTGGAGACCCTAAACCAAGAAAACCATCCCTTATAAAGGCTGACCAGCCGCCTGGGACGTGTTACCCTATGAATGGCTTCAGCTCCTCAGGCCAAAATGAGCCACGGGATAGGCAGAGATCAAAGGAATGGAGATTACCCAGCGCCTGTGAAGTAATTTACAACTTGGTGTCTTCAGGCACCTATTATTGTAATGGATAATGCAGGAACCGGCTTCCTACAAAGTGTGATGGGGCACTTGGGACAAGAACAGAGAGTGTGTCAGTGCCGTCCAAAGGATGCCAAAAGGCTTGACCCTTCCACTAACTTTTAAGCCAAAACAAGTCCCCAAGTTCCACTCCCCGTGTTTCTAACTTGACCAGAAACAAGACCAGCACTGTGTTAGAGGTCTGGTTTCCTGCACGGGCAGTTGGGGAGTACTTTTCTAGCATGCACGTGGTGTCTTGTCTTTGAATAAATACAACAGAAAGTTTACCTATTGCTTAACACCCTGTCAGAAGAAATCCCTTTAAGATAAATCTTATTAGTGTAGTTGTGAAGACCCTGTTCCTAGCTCCATGTAAGACAAAAGAGGCCTGGAGTTCTCTAGTTAACAAGCCCCATGAGCTCAGGGATGGCTACGTCTTCCTTTTGTCTGTTTTGTTGCAGTAGATTTGTTTAATTTCCTGAAACTAAGTGGATTTTAATTCTGGAGTTATTGCTTCCATACCCAGCCGTCACATCCTCAAACCTGTAAGATTATATTAAGAGAGCAACTACCTCAGGGTGCCTTTGCTACAGGGGAGTGTGACAAGCCCTTTGTGTGCTTTAGAAAGAATTGAAATCTCTGAGCAGAAAGAAAGCTTTGGGGTTTGTGGTGGTTTGAATGAAAATGGCCCCTATAGGCTCATATGGAGTGGCACTATTAAGAGATGTGGCCTGGCTGGAGTAGGTGTGGCCTTTCTGGAGGAAGTGTGTCACTGAGGATAGGCTTTGAGATTTCAGATGCTCAAGACAGACCTAGCATTTCTCTTCCTGCTCCCTGCCCATCTGGATGTAGAACTATTGGCTAATTCTCCAGCACAATGTCTACCTATGTGCCACCATGCTTCCCACCACGATGGCAGTGGACTAAACTTCTGAACCTGTAAGCCAGCCCCATGTAAATGCTTTCCTTTTAAGAGTTGCCATAGTCACGGTGTCTCTTCACAGAAATAGAAACCCTAACTAAGACAGGGTACAATGCCACAGTCTCACTGGGGTCTCTAACAAGGTATACAGAGGGGCCTTAGCATATCACTCACTAGGCAGAGGACCTCAGTATGCCACAGACCTAGGTCACCTACTCAGAAGCTTTCAAAATCATTGTACTGTTTAAACATAAATCCTCTAGTATGTTTGTTTCTAGTTGTATTCTTATCTTCTCAGACTAACTAATGGCCCTCTCAGAATCTGTGTCAGGCTATGCCCATCTCAAGTGTCTTTTCTTACTGTTTGGTGGCTGCCTTTGCTCTTCTCTCCTTCCCATGGGATGTTTCAGAACACAGCCTGAATGGGGCTTAGATGTACATTTAAGGTAAAATGGAAGTCCTGCTTCTAAGTGGAGAAAAGGGCCATGCTGTCCACCTTCCTGACTGTGTTCTTTTCTCTTAATATTGTCCTGGTTTCAGACTAGCTCAGTGTGTAGAAGTCCAGGTCCATGACATCGTCTCTGTACAAATGGTGAAAACTGAGAGAGCCCAAGAGACTGTAGCTGTAGCCAAGGCATCTTTCTTACAAAAGCTTGAAAGGGCCCAGAGAACACAAAGAGTCCTTATTGTTCTCTGCCAAGTGAAAATTGAGGTTTCAGCTTAACCACTGCAGCCTGTGTTCAGTCCTGCACTGCAGGAAACTGCAGAACCTGACATGAAGGGAGGGGCCATACTACTTATGCTATGAATTCAGCTAGGGATTGCCCAGTTACTTCCCTGCCAATCTTACTATTGAGATTATAAAATTACCAAAAATTGAGGATGTCTGAGATTTTTATCCTAAATATTGGTCGCTTGAGGGAATTGCTCATGATTTTCTCATTAGTTAAAAGATGCAAATAATTGTCCTTTTAGAACACACTAAAAGCAAAGAAAACAGGTTATTCATTACATTCGGAGGAATGGCTCTCCCAGGAAGAAATTTGTATCCCTTTCTGATGCTCCTTAATGGGAGGGCATAGCCCTCTGTGGATTTTGTGTTCCTTGTAACTAGGAACTTCCCTCCTGCCTTCTGGCCTGTTCTTGGTTCAGTGTCAGCCTGCGCCCTAGGTGAGCCAATTGCATGTCTAACCTGTGTTTTCCACTACTGGGTTACATGTGTCTGGTTGACATGGCAGTCATATCCATACCTGGAGCACTTCATTGCCTGAGTGATGCTTTAGAGAGGCAAACAGATTTACTTTCCTAAAAGAGCCCACAGAGCTGGAGGTGCCCTAACTCAGGATCCTGATCCTCCTAGGTGCTCAGGGCACAGGGTATTTATTGGTGGACATTTGGCACTGGAAAGGTGCTGAGTGATTTGTTCAGTTGACAGTACCTGGTTCGGAATGCTGCCTTGGATACCTCTTCCTGTGTGTGCCCAGAACTCATGTTTGCTAAGTAAAGTAGTTGCATCTATTTATGTATTATTTATTGTGTACACACACACACACACACACACACACACACACACACACACACACCCCTACATAGCACATAGTAGATGCTCAATAAGCTTTCCTTGATTAAATGAATGAACTGCCACTTGTCAGTGACAAACTGAGAACACAATAACAGCGAGATCAACTGTTGTTCAGAAATCCAGGAAAGCAGATCTGGGTTTGTCATATGGTAAGACTAGTTCAGAGGGTGACTTTGGAAGACTGGATCTTAACATTCAGCTAAACATGGCCAGCAGCACGAACCAGATGGTGGGAGCTAGTGCAGGCAAGGCTAGTGTGTGGCCCTGGTTTGGAGAGAGAGGTGGTGAGGGTCCCTATGCAGGAAGCACCAAGACAGCCAAGTGATCATCAAGTATCCCAAAGTCTCTCAACAAGCAGAAAGGCCCTGGTCCCCTGCCCTCTCCTCCATTGCACAAAGTATCGTGTGAAGTGGTAAGCTGGTTCATAACAGGATCATGCACTCAAATTAACTAAAGAAGCTGGAGAGCAGGTCTAGAGCCCCAGCCTGATGCGCTTACCTAATTATACCTTATCAATCAAAACTTGAGAGTCAGATATTGGGGTAAGAACCTGAATGATCAGGGTCAGGGCAGAAGAGTGTCCAGCAACCTCCTATCTCTTTCATTCGTCCATTCAAAAGACCAAGACCTTCTCTTAGCCCCGCCCTACTACTTCCTGTCTCTCTATCTGTCCTCAGTCCTCCAAAACCTCTATGGTTAATTTTGGTCAACTAGTAGCTAGCTCTGCCCTCTGACTCAAAGCAAATTTTATTGTCAGAGTAAGATCAAAACACCACACAACACCAGCCAAGGAAACTAAGGCTTGGGACAAAGAAGGTTCATGAGGTGATGACATAGTGAATGGGGAGACTTGGAGTTCAGATAACCCTTGCTTTCTCTAGCCAAAGGGCCTTGAGCAACTCCGCCTTTTAGCCACCAAGTGGGAAAGACGCACCTCTAGCATTTTGTTGCAAAGATTAAATGAGATCACACAAATATGGTTTTAGGACAGTAGTTGACAGATAATAAGCACTTAAGTGTTTGCTGTTGTCTACTTTTTTTCTCTTGCGTTTTGGTAGCCAAAAAGAACTGGGGGTCTACATGACAGAAGAAAGTTGGGGGAGTGTAGAAAGCCTGGGCAGGCTGCACATCCTTTCTTGAGAAGGTCTGGCCTCGACCCTGCTTTCCTTGACACTGGAACTGCTCCAGTCTGATCCTGTAGCCACAGGAGGAGCCCTCCCTTTCCTCTCTGGATATCCGGCTAATTGGAAGCCAGCCCTGTCCTTGTGGCAGCTCCCAGCCTCTCAGGCAACATTCTGCAGTCCTTCTGGTGTTGCTTTTGCTGTGTTTTACCCTGATAGGGCAGGTGCTCCCTGGGGTCCTTGGAAAAGACAGGTAATAGATATGATAAAGGCAGAGTGCATCCTGGCGCAGCATCTCTGCTTCTCCCGGGAGGTCTGGAGGCTTTTCATGACAATTAATTATTCACATTTTCTCTCCTTCCCCTCAAATACTTGGTTTCCTGATCGGTGCCATAGAGATGCACTTGTAACCCTAGTGCCCCATGACAGTTCAGAGCTGTTTCGGGGTCATGCGCAGTGAGCACCAACAAGCATACATTTGTCACTGCCTGTTCTTCAGAGCTGGGCTGTGCCAGGACTTCAGCCTCTTCCTGGCTCCAGGTTCGTGCAGTACAAGCACAATTCAGACGCCAGTCTTGTCTTCCACCTGCTTGATCTCAGCTGCATCCTGGTTGCCAGCACTCAGGGGTAGAGTGCAATGTTTTTCAGCCCAGCTCACTCTCCCAGGCTGGGCAGTCTGCCCTTTGCAAAGCTGTAAACACACAGCCATCCATGCAGGCTTCAGCCTTTGTGCCTGCTCTCTGGGAAACCTTTATGTGGCTGCAGGAGGTGGCATAATGCTGAGGGCCCTGACAATTCTAGAGTCTTTGGGAAATTTAGTCCCCACTCCCCTGGCTTCTTCATACCCAGGCTCTCCTGCCCACCTGTGGGCTTTCTTGAAATCTTTGTTGGGTTTTGTTTCCTGGGCACCACCTGTGGCTCTGGCCTGTGTCATCCTCCAGACCATTACTGAGACATAAAGACTCCTGCAGGAGCCAAGAGGGAGGTGACTTCTGTTAAAGCTTGTTAAAGACCCAGGGCCAGAGGCAGGAAATGCAAATGAACATCTGAGACACAAAGCTGGTGGCTGAGAAGGGGCTGCAGAGTGGGGAGAGGTGGAGCAGCATAGCCAGACTGGGAGGGCAGGATGACAGCTGAGCATCCCCTGGCAAACAGGTGCAGCAGAGAGGAGGGATACAGGGGCTCACAGGCCTCTGTGCCGGAGAGAGGGTTCTGCCTCTGCTGCTCCTGGTGGGTAACTGGCTTCTGTGCCTTGATTTTCTGCTCTGTAAAATAGAGGCAATGACCTCAGCCACTTCAAGGGTTGTACCGGGACTAAATGAGCTCGTGTACTCAGTCTTTTCATAAGAACTTCTGTTCACTCCAGGCCTCTGGCTATGTGTACACCCTGCGAGGGGTCTGGATCTTAAAGGGACCACCTCACTTCTTGGACAACTTCTTTTCCCAACATTCCTTGTGCTCCACCTACTCTTTGTTTCCCTGACGGAAACCGTCTGTAATTCCTTGACTAAACTTCTTCATCACTTTCTTGTTCAAAGCTGATCTGTCCTTTCCCATTTGTGTTGAACTTGACTAGTGTTTAGCAAAGTCATACTTCTCTGGAGTTAGGAGTTTGAGGCAGCCTGGGAGAGGGAAGTTACATTTTGGTACCTGTGGAGCCTTCCTTTGAAGAGCTGCAGCTGGGGGAAAGGAACCAGTTCCATCTTTACTGCCTTCGCTTTAGCCACTGGTGATGGTGTCAATGTGTAATGAAATGGAGGAAGCCAGTTAGTCAGAAAGAGTTAGCCTAAAACTGACCAGAATAACCGTCTGACTGCTCTCTGAGCTGCCATGACGGATTTTCATAATTCAAATCTGAGTGGAAACACACACATCGGATAACCACACTGCCTAAAAGCAGCAGGTCTGCTCTTGGATTTGGCCACTACTTCAGTAGCATCAAAGTTCCATAACCAAGAGACAGCCTCCTGGTTTAACTACCATGCAGGCCAGGTGGCCTAGTAGAACTCTTGGTCTTCATCCTTAAACCTGTCTTTCTCTTCTGTTGGCCTCTCTGTTAAACAACACATCACAGAAACACCAGAGCGCTCCACTCTCCACTATGTACACACTGCTCTGTGGTGGTGGCCTCCAAGGCTACCCTTTGTGCCTCCAAAGTAGCCTGACACATGACATCTCTTCTTTCACTCCCACCCCCAGTTCCACCTGCATCTTCAGTACCGCTACATAAAAAGCGTCTCCTGTCCCCTCACTCACTTGTTATTTCCCATGTGTCTTGGGTCAGCAATCTAACCCTGACAGAGCCCGATCTCTTGACATCTGTCTTTGTCTAATCTAGCCTGTGCTCAGCTAGAGTGACCCTGCCCCTTTCTCCTCCCAGGCTCAGTAGAGTGTATTCTTCTAGAAAACCTCCTGGTATCCTGTGGCTGGTTGGGACTGTGGCTGCTAAAAGCCCACTGCACTGCCTGGACATCACAGGCCACTGCTTCCTCTGTGCCTCACACCCAGGGACATTGTGAGGACAGGCCTGAATTCCAGATAAATCTGCTACTCCACCCCATCCCTCTCACACTTGATCAAAAGATGTCTGGATTCACCTAAGATCAATCATGAATAGGTGAAGGCACCCATAGCACATTCACCTAGACTCCTTCACATTTAGGTGAAGGCACACAGTACATTTTGAGGGCCAAGCCTCTTTCTCTGGGCACATACCACTATGGCCAACAAACTGCCTCACCCCAGGGCAAAGTATTGCTAGGTTAAACAACTTATAGAAGAAAGCATTTAATTTGGGGGCTTACCATTCTAGAGGATGTGTCATCATCATGATCATCATAGCTAGGAGTATGCCAGCCAGTAGGCAGGCATGGCACTGGAGCAGTAGCTGAGAGCTCACATCTGATCACAAGCCCGAGGAAGAGGGATGGGAGAGAGAGAAACACACACACACACACACACACACACAGAGAGAGAGAGAGAGAGAGAGAGAGAGAGAGAGAGAGAGAGAACAAACTGGAAATGTTCTTAAGCTTTTGAAACCTCAAACCCACCCCCAGTGACACACCTCTTCCCAAGGCCACACCTCCTAACCCTTCCCAAACAGTTCCACCAACTAGAAGCCAAGCATAGGAACATATGAGCCTATGGGTCTATTCTCATTCAAACCACCACAGAGGTATCTGCCTGGGGACATAGGAAGGGTTATTGACCCATTCAAGATTTGTGAAATTCTGGGTGGAACAAATTAGCTTTACCTGAGCATACATGCCTCACCACTTTACCTGACTTCTCTCACTACAACACCGGGGTATTGTGCTCATCTCTGGAAGTTCCTTCTATATCTGCAACAGCACAGTCCCAGGTTCCTTCAGTGAGAGTGAGCCTTGTGCTCGATGCCTCAGCTGCAAATTAGAGGGAACACCCCATTCCAGACTGGGTGCTCCTGCCCCACTCAGTGCCAAACACATAGGACAGCACCCTTAAAAGTCCATTAAAGGGATAAAACAGACCAAAGAAATAAGCAAAACAAAAGATTGTGGGTGCTTTAGAAGGCTCTTGTTTTGATCCAACATTATTAAAGCCCTATGGCAACAGGCTCATATCTAAAGGGGTTCATGAGCCCCCTAGAGCTTTCTGAGTCAAGAGACTTGACTTCTCCTATCTAGAAGAAATTGTGCAACCTGCTGGACAGAACCCAGGTTTTATGAACACTCTCAAACATAAAGCAATAGCCCTTTTTACTTCTTTAGAACTTGGGATCACAAAATCTAAGGTCATGGATTCCATTCAGTTGGAATTTGGCTTCTCTTTCTGTTAAGGCAACATATATCATTAATGTTTCTCTTAATGGAATACTTATCACTTCATACACTTAGCCACTATCCACTCATTCATTCACACATCCATCTACTCATCTATCCATCTACCTATCCATCCACTCATGTACCATTTATCCACACACTCATCCATATGTCCATCCATCCACCCATCCATCCATCCATCTATCCATCCATCCACTCAATCATTGGTCTACCTGTCCATCCATCTATCCACCCATCCATCTGTCCATCCATCCATCCACCTACCCACCCACCCACCCATCCATTCATTCATTCCTGTGTGCTCCCAGGTGAGCTTTCTGTGGAGGAAGCACAGGACCCTTTCCTGGTGAGCATCCACATCATCGCAGACCCAGGGGCATCTCAGCCACTGCAGGAGGCCATCGACAAGGTTTTGGCATGGGTTCACCCTGACCTCCCACTGTTCCGAGTCGCAGCCTGCACTGGCCGTGGTGCTGTTCCTGCAGGAGGAGTATGGAGAGGAGCAGATCCTGCAGGTGCACCAGGTGCTGCAGCAGCCACCCTGGCGCCACCACCACACAGAACGTGTGCATGGCCGCTTCCTACCCTACCTGCCGTGCAGTCAGGACTTCTTCACTCTGGCTCCTGGAACCCCTCTGTGGGCCATCCGGCCCGTGCACTACGGCAAAGAGATTGTTCGCTTTACAATCTACTGTCGCCACAACAGCTATGCAGACAGCCTCCGCTTCTATGAGCTGATCCTACGCCGGAGCCCCAGCCAGCGGAAAGCAGACTTCTGCATCTTCTCCATCTTCTCCAACTTGGATGTGGACATCCAGTTCTCCCTGAAAAGACTGCCCTGTGACCAGACCCCAGTGCCCACCGACTCCTCGGTGCTGGAGTTCCGAGTGAAGGACATCGGGCAGCTGGTGCCCCTCCTTCCCAACCCCTGCAGCCCCATCAGTGAAGGGCGCTGGCAGACTGAGGACCACGATGGCAACAAGATCCTTCTTCAGGTACAGAAGTCGTCTGACGTCTGTCTGTCTGTTTGTCTGCGGGTCTGTTGTGCCAGGAAGCCATGTAGATGTTACAGAGCCATGAGTTAGGACAAAGAAGAAGGCAATGTCCTTGTCCATCCTAGACCAAGATGGCGCATCCCATACACTTCCAAGCAAGAGCAGAGGTAGAAAGATCTCTGCCTCTGGTTCCTTTAGTGTCCCTGCAGTGGTACAGGCCTCTGTAGACACACGCACAGTTCTTCCAGGTGTTTACCCAGGTTGAGCATTCCTAACACTCACGGCTCTCTGCCGGTGGAAGCCCACAGGCTTCTTACCTGGGGAAGTTGCTGATAAGGAGCCCTAAGTGCAATCTTTCACTCCTGGGGAGGTTTTCCCAATGTATCCTTCACTTCTCCAAGAGAAGCCAGGGGTTTGAAAAATTGTACTGAGTCTGTAGAGATTTCTGATTACTTTCTGTTGCCCCTCCTTCCACTTGGCTGCCACAGGAGGTTGTTAAGATCAGTGTTGGAAAGTGGCCCCTTGTCAACATTTGAAGAAATGGGCCATGTCTTTGAAGTAGCCCCCATCCCACATGAGTGCTTTTTAGGGAGCCTATGTCGGCCCCAACCTCTCCAGACTGCTACCTCACAAACCTCCTTTCTCCTGCACCCCAGAATGGTGTGTCCCACACTCATCAGAAATATTCGATTGCAATCTAACACCCAAAATTGAACCCAAAAGTCAAAGAATGCCCTACCCCTGGCTTTACCTGACCATTGCTTTCCAAGCCAGGCCTCTTGAGTTAACAGGTCAGTCAGTCCCAAGGGAAGAGGTCTCAGTCTTCCTGCACTGCTTTGGGTTGGAGATGTAGCTCAGCAGTAGAGCACTTCCTACCATGGTCCAGACACCGGCTTCTGCCCTCATCACCAGTAAGGCCTCAGCCTCTATGATTCTACTTTTCGTGTTTGACTGCCTGAAGATAAAGAACCAGTAGCCATTTGAGGGCTCAGTGACTCTGGGGATAATTGTGCCTGCTGGGATCACAGGCAAAGTTTCACCATTTGGGTTGACCCTGACTTTAAGCACCAAAACTTTACCACCACCCCCATGTGATGAGGTGAAATGGTACATATTAGATGACTTGCCCAAACTGTATCCAGGGCAACTTGCTCAAGGGAGGGGGCCACCTTGAGATGACTGTTGTTTATAGGAGCTCCTTGATTTTCAGACTTCCTTTTGAAGAAGCCAAGAAATATGGCTTTGTTATTGATTAAACTAAATATTAGCCTCTGCTCTCTAATCCTCCTTGAAATGAGTGGGGAAACAATTCTGCATCTGAAGACTGCCCATTTTTTATGCAAAGTATGACAGTTATGCCAGTAAAAGTTAACAAAATGCAAACGATTATATTTGTACTAAAAGATCCAGGTGAATGTGATGGCTGCTGAAGAGATCACTTCCTCTCCAGAGTCATGAATTGTCCTCTCTCGATCCTCCAAATAGCATAAATGAAAGAACAGTGTAGAAGGCTTGGCCTGGGCCCTGACTCAAAGGAAACACAGAAAGGTAGTGTCAAAGTTGAGCTACATGTTTCAGTGACTAAACTGCATAGGTGCAGGCTTTCAAAGATGAGAAATTGCCAAAAGAGAAAGAAAAACGATTCTCACATTGGGACTAAGGAACACAGAACTTCTCTCTAAGCCAGTTTAGTAGCAGTACATTAAATACCACGGGCAGAGGCAACACACAGCACCTCCCAGTTTTGGAGAATGGTCACTGTTGACCTGTTTTGGTGCAGAGAGCAGCCTCCCACTCTAAAACAAGGCGCGCATCTGTCCATCTCTTTTAAGTTACTTTCCAAAGTAAAAACATACGTTTCAGTCTTCAACAAAAGTAAGATATTCAGGCCATAAGGGGAAGGACACTGAAGAAAATACCCTTTATGAACAGTTTTGTTTGTTTGTTTTTGGCACCAACTATTCCTACATTGGTTCCTTTTCTCATTGCTGTGACAGACGGCAACTTCAGGGAGGGCTCATTTGGACTCATGGTGTGAGAGGACAGCCCATTGGACCAGGGAGGGCATGGCAGCAGGAAGCTTGAAGCTGCAGCCTCAGGAGCACGAGGCTGCCTGCTCACACCTCAGCAGATCAGGAAGCACCCAGAAGTGAATGCTGCTCTTCGGGTGGCTTTCTCCTTTCTTTTTATTTAGCATGAGACCCCATCACAGCCAATGGTGCCCCCACATTCAGTGAGTCTTCCCTCCTTAGTCAAATCTCTCATGAAACCTTTGCACGGATGCCTTCCCAGGCATCTCCAGGCATTTGTTAATCCAGTCAAGTTGACAATCAAAATTAGCCATTACAGTTCCCTCTTTTCAAATATACTTTTTAAGACAAAATGTTAGCTCAGTGGATGTAGTTATAGTTTTTTTCAGGTTTCTTGTTCAGATTCTTTGTCCAAACTCTGTGTGTAGGAGCCTCTTCCTCCCTTTGTAACTCTTCTAGAGAAGAGAATGTTTGGTTTTGGTTTTTGCTATAAACAACACAGCCCCTCCCTGAACTCTGTATTTCTCAAGAAAGGAAGGTATCTAGTCAAAACAAGGTTCTGAATGGCTATGGTGTCTTTTTCTTTGTTTACTCACAAGTAAATATCACATTTTTAAAAAAGACTTAGGATAACTGGTAAAGATACATACATAGCAAGAAAAGTAATAGCAACTAGATACAGAAGAATTTGAGGTAGAGAGTGATATTGACATGGCTCAGTGGTTATGAGTCCTTGCTGCTCTTACAAAAGACCCCAGTTTGGTTCATAGCATCCACTTCAGAGGGTTCACAACAACCTGTGAGTCCAGATCCTGTGAGTCCAACACCTTCTGACCTCTTAGAGCATTCTCAGGCTTGTGCACCTATCCATGTGCACACACACACACACACACACACACACACACACACACATAAATAAATGAATAAAAGTAAATATTTCTAAGATTTAAAAAGCAAGGCACCTTGCCACAAAGAGTTGCTGTCTGTCAAAATGAGCTTTGAGGCAGAGTCCTGAGAATGTCTTCACTGAGAGATATGATCATATGCACAGTGGCTGCTTTAGTCATTTTCAGTCAGCCTGGACACTGGAGCACTAACCCAGCCACAGCACCCACACTGTAACTAACCTTCAAGGTACTGCTCGGATCACACTCACCTGGAATCTTGAAGTCATGAGCAAATTATGCCATGCCTAATTTAACCAGTTGGTCATTCAGACAATTCATAGGCCACCTTCTCCATGCCAGGCACTGTGATCTCTGAATGCAGCCAGTCAGAAGTCCCTTCCTTAGTGAAATTATCTGCTAGCAGGGGAAGTAAATAACAAGAAATATAATAAAAATGATAGAGTATTTTAGGAGGTACTAGGGAAAAAGACTGCCTATCTCTAAAACTTCTATTATGAAGTTAAATCTACTCATAAAAGCAGTGTTTATTAATCCACCAGAGTCTAAAAGTTTTCAGTTAACTTGAGTTAAGCAAGAACTGTCCTTGGGTATGCTAAGATTTCCTGGTAACATGCCAAAAACTTCAGAAATGTATAAACATCCTTTGGGATGCAATGATCATATTCATTTTTCAAATTTACTTTTTTGCCTTTGCATAGTATATACCATAGAAAATGTAGTCTTTTGAAAATTCCACAATGTAGGTCCTTTTTGTTTGAGCCTAGTGTATTGCTCAACTGAAATCTTTGTTGTGGGAATTGAGTCCATCTGTAACTGCTTAGACAAAAGCAGTTACAAAGGAGAGTAACTCCCTGAAAAGCAAAGAGAATGCCAGGGACTGCAAGGCCAGGCTGCACCTTGGTCCTTGTCTGTTGCTGTTTATTTCCTATAACCTTCTAAAGCATGAGGCCGCACAGGTTTCTTGTTATATAAATTCCATTTAAACAAAATGGTTTCAGTGTTCTCCCTTTCTGAATGGATGACATTTATGTAACTGCAATAGAACTTAGCTGTTTATGAGAAACTGCTTCTACCAAAGCATTTATGGGGGTTGAAGAAAAGGGTGAAGCTGCCCTTTCTGTGGTAGGTTCTGGTCAGCTCTATGTTTTGCCAAGATATCCCATCCTCAACAGGCCTTGGCTGAAAGTCCCTCTAACCATTCACAGCTATAGCTGATGTACCATCTTGGGTTGACCCAGTCTATCCTCTTTGGCTATAGCTGATGTACCTACCATGCTGGACTGATTCAGTCCAGACTCCCTGGCTGTAGCTGATGCACTGTGTTGGGTTGGGATAACCCAGTCTGGCTTCTCTGTCTGTAACTGGTGTGCTCAGGATGTCTGTGTACCTGGCATCATAGAAACATTAGGAACTGGAATTAGGAAAGAAAATTACTCTCCTTTCTGGTGGCTGAAAACTCCACATGTGAAACCTGGGATCAGACAGAAGCTGTGTTTTCCACTAGGGAGAGAAAACTGCCCCACTTTGAGTGGAGGGAGTGACTGTCACCTGCAGAGAAGAGACTAGAGAATTGTAAGACAAGGTGTCATAGAGTCCTGTAGTTCCACATATCCTGGAGCTACAATCTCACAGCTATAGGCATCTATTAGCTACTTTTGTCAGGGTTATGACAAAACAGCTGACAAGAAGTAACTTGACTAGGAGGAAGGGTTTGTTCTTGCAGTTCAAGGGGATATATGTAGCCACCATGGTGGGGTGGCAAAAGCAAGAAGCAGCTGGTGACATTGTCTCTGCAGACAGGAAGCAGAGACTGAACAGAAAGGGAAGTGAGGCCTTCAAACCTCAAAACCTATCCCCAGTGACCTCATCCAAAGAGGCCTCACCTCCTAAACATTTCACAACCTTCACAGGTAGTGGCATCATCTGTGACCAAGTGTTCAAACACGTGAGCATATCAGGGACATCTCACATTCAAAACACAGTGCCCAGTACAGGTGTGGTTTAATCTTAAGTAAATGATTCTCCCTTCTTCATAGTGTGTGTTTGGGTGCTTTATCTGTAT